CAGGTTCCTCCTAGAGAGGCTGACACCAGGCTGCTCCTTGGAGGCAAGGATTCTAAGACTTCATCTGACATACTATGCACAGGCTGCCAAGGAGGGACCAGTCCTTGGAGAGGGACATCATACTTGGGAGGGTGGAGGGACAGTGCAAGAGGGGAAGACCCTTGTTGAGACGGATTGATTCAGTGGCTGGGGTAATGGGAGCAGGTGTGTCAGAGATAATAAGAGTGGCTCAGGATAACTATGAGTTGCAAGCAACTAGACGGCACATAAAAACAACAACAGCTGTTTTGTTAGGTATCATCAAGGGAAGTAAAATTTATGTGGTTGTTACTGGTGTTAGATGTCGTTGAGTCTCAAGTATTACTTACGGAGAGACCCTATGAACAACAGACCTGAACCTTCTCCTATCCTGTCCCATCCATATACCATCTATGACACCCTTGAACCCACTGATGTAGTCACTGTGGCAATTCATCTCATTAGAAGTCTTCCTTTCTTCAGCTAACCCCTCACCTTTCCAAGCATGATACCCCTTTCCAAGAAATAGCCTCTCATAGTAACATGTCCAAAGTACGAGACATGAAGCTGTGCCAGCCTTGCCTCCAAAGAGCACTCTGACCTTATTTTTTCTAGCAACCATATTAACAATAGATTGGAATCTTGCCCTTTCTGACACTATGGTTCTGATCTCCTCCAGGCTTACGACTATTTTGCAATCACTTTGTCAATCCATCTCATTGAGGACTTCCTCTCTTTCAGGACCCCTCTACCTTTTCAGCATAATGTTCTTTTCTAGAAATGCTCTCTTGCAGGACCCCTCTACCTTTTCAGCATAATGTTCTTTTCTAGAAATGCTCCCGCCCCAACATCTCAAAATATATAATACAAAGTTTCACCACCCTACTAGCTAAGGAATACCTTGGTTGTACTTTCTCCAAGGCAGATTTGTTTGTTCTTCTCATAGTCCATAAGATATTAAATATTTTTTGCCAATACCACAATTGAAAGACTACAAATCTCAAACAACAGCAAGAAAGTACTTTTCATTTCTTTAAATATTACAAGGACTGGAGAACACTGATTCAGATTATTGCTTATCCTTCTGAAAGTGTGAGTTGGGCGTGGCAGAGCGTGTGTGTGGTGGAATAGGATCATTTTACTTATACTATATTCATTTTAATGTAATACGTTTTCATTTCCAAGTCTGCTGCCTAAAAGCTAAATGTTGCAGAAGAATATTTTGTCCCTTACTATCCCTATTATTAGTATCCTTTAAATATGTTAGGTTCTTGCTAAAATAAAAATGTTACAAAGTACTTTTAAAGGTCTCTGAAATTACAGTCAAAAGCAAAGTATAATAAATACTGTCATAAAACAATGTAACTACATTGAATTCTAGGAAACCCTGAAGGAAAAGAAAAGAGGGGAAGTGGAGCTCGGTTGCACAATCTCAATGGAGATGTACTGCTAACTCAGTGGTCAACCCTCTCTGGTTGTGTGCATCTTCACCAGTGGCTGCATCAAAGAAAGATGGACAAACTCCTCCGATATTTACATTGCAGTCTCAGAAGTCCAAGGGAGAGTCAGCTATGAGTCAGTTCCAACTAGATGGTAATGAAAATGTTGTTGTTGTTATGTGCCGTCTAGTCGCTTGTGACTCATAGCGACCCTATGTACAATAGCCCTAAACTCTGCTCTGTCCTGTGCCAATTGCATCGTCTCCGATACACCCATCCCGATTATCCCAGTCACTGAATCAATCCACCTCATAGAGGGCCTTCCTCTTCTGCGCTGTCCCTCTGCCCTACCAAGCATGATGTCCCTCTCCAAGGACCGGTCCTTCCTTACAACATATCCAAAGTATGTTAGACGTAGCCTCAGAATCCTTGCCTCCAAGGAGCCGCCCGGTTTAACTCTTTCCAGGATGAATCGGTTTGTTTTCCTAGCAGTCCATGGTACATTCAGTACTCTTCTCCAGCACCAAAGCTCAAAGGCATCAATTCTCCTTCAATCCTCCTTAGTCACTGTCCAACTCTCCGATGCATAACAAGTGATCGCAAAGACCATGGCCTGTATCATACGCACCTTAGTCTCCAAAGAGATATCATGGCTTTCAGTACTTTGGAGAGGTCCCTAACAGCAGATTGAATTATACTAATTTAAGAAGCTCTGGTGGCATAGTGCATTATGAGTTGCACTGTTAGTCAAAAAGGTCAGCAGTTCATACACACCAAATGCTCCAGTGGTTTCCACAAAGATTACAGCTGTGGCAACCCAGTGGCGATGTTCCTGTGAGTCAGAATTAACTGTAATGGTAGTGACTTTGCTTGTAAGCAAAGGTGGTTGCTGTTATGTATCATCGAGTCGTTTGCAACTCATAGCGACCCTATGTACAACAGCCTTAACCCCTGTTCTATTGCTTGTCAATTTCATTGTCTCCAACACGCCTATCCCCATTACCACAGTGACAGAATATATTAACTTATTTTAAACTCTTTCAGGTAACAGACACATTAATATTTAAGTAAATATATCTTAGTAAACTATTTTTATGGTAATTAGTAGATAAGAATTTTAATTGTACCTTAAAATAAGCTTTATACTAACTTCTGCTATCCCAACCAAAATCATGTATTTGTTATTGCAAATAGGCTTCTTCCCCCCTCTCGGCCTTTCTTTTTACTGTCTCTTTGACCAGAGATTACCTCCATTAAACCTTTAAGTTTCCCCTGGGCTTTAGGGAGAAGGAAGCAGCAATCAGAAGTCATAAATTACAGTACTAATTATTGATCATTACTATCTCATTTCTTTATTAATTACAGAAACTTTAATAGGCTATTTAATCTGCTTGGCTTTTGTTATTTAACAAAGACAGTTGTCTAAGGAATTTTTATACAAATGTTACTGTTACCTGCCGTCAAGTCACCTGTGACTTAAAGGGACACTGAATCCAACAGCCTTAAACTCTGCTCTGTGTTGTGCCAATCTCACTGTCTCTGACACACCCACCCCAATTACCCCAGTCACTGAATCAATCCACCTTCATAGAGGGTTTCCCCTCCTGCGCTGTCCCTTCAGCCTCCCAAGCATGATGTCCTTCTCCAAGGACTGGTCCCGCCTTACAACAGGTCCAAAGTATGTCAGACGAAGCCTCAGAATCCTTGCCTCCAAGGAGTAGCCTGGTTTAAGCACCTCCAGGTCGAACCTAGCAGTGTATGGTACATTCAATAATCTTCTCAAAGGCATCAAGTCTCCTTCTATCCTCCCTAGTCATTGTTCAACTCTCTGATGCACAGCAAATGATTGCAAAGACCATTACCCGTATCAGGTGCACCTTAGTCTCCAGAGTGACACCACTGCTCTTCAGTACTTTGGAGAGGTCCCTAACAGTAGACTTTCCCATCACAATACATTTTTTAATATCATGACTGCTGGTGCCAAAAGCTACCAGAAAAAAAAGGCCAAACAAATCAAATTTAAGTCTGTTAAGGAATGTTAGACCTGAAAACTGACCTTTATTTCATCTAAAATCAGTTAAAACTAATTTAGGAATATGCTCAGGAATGTATTGCTATTGGTTTATACTTGTTATTTCAGTAAGCAGGTTAATAGTTTCTAGAACAGTGAAGTTGAGGGTACTAACGAACCCTCTCATAAGGATTCTAAACTGAATGAGAAAGTCAATCTGCAAGTACATATTTCCCCACAAAAAACTTGGGGAAACCTGAGAATCCCACTGCTCCATTTAGAAACAAGATGTACAATGTTTTCTTTTGTAATTGGCTCTACAACGTTTCCAAATATTTGCATATTAAAGAAATTAATCACTGTGCTCAATCACATAAGAGACTTCACCAAGTAAGTTCTGTTTTTCTATGACTCAAATTCTGTCATCATCAAGCTCCATGATTCCTCCAGCAAGTATCTCCGTCTTCTGAGCCTTACAGAAATATCATTTTAACTACACCAGTATACCACCATAATTGTTGAGGGAAGAATCCTTATTCATCTATGCATTTCCTTCCCCAATCTCCCATTTCAACCTCAATAGCCTAACATCCAGAATAGGAAACGGTCACCTAAATTTTATGAACAAACTCATTTTGAAGATGGTATACCCTATACACACAAAAAACAAAGTAAAACCTTAAACAAATACACACACACACACACACACACACACACACACAAAGTGAACTATTCATTAGAAGAAACGTTTTTATTGTTAAAAGGCCTATAGTTTTATAAACAAGGTAATGGATTATAATAATATATTTATATTATTTGCATTACTGATTATGCTGCTAAAAATAAGGCAAAAGACAAATCATAGATGGTTCACCAAGAATTTGCTTACTGGCCCTATAGAATAGACTAGTACTAATTCAAGGCTACAGTGATCATTCTAAGGCTCATTCACATCCTGAACTAAGTTTTAACAACCTGGGTATTTCTAGCACTAAATATTTTTTGGGATACATATACTTTTTTTTAAAAAATGCAAGTACAGATTAGATGTCTCCCTTTTAAATTTCAACTATTCCCAAAACATAACTTTTACTATAGTATGGCTTGACACCTTCTAACAAGCTCAAAATCTAAGCAATTATAATAGAATGTATCTGAAAGATATCAATAACAAGAAAGAAAAATGATATATATTTTTCAAGTGTCATACATTGCTAAAACGGGAATGGTTCATATTGGACTTTTCTAAGGACATCTGGAAATCCTACTTCCATAAACACATGCAGAAAAAGATTAGACACTCAAATAAAATGAGTGACAGTTTGTAAAATGGAAAAGCTGTTAAAGCCACACACTCATTTACATAAGACACACAAAGAAAAAGCAAAGGTTTAGAAAGCATATGAATATGTAAGGAACAAAAACCAACAAACCAATTAACAGCCAAGACATAGGAGATTAAAAATTATTTTATATTTAAAAGGGTAAACAAAGCATCAAGTTATAAAATGATAAAAGTATATGTTACTCACAGAAATTCTTCTCCAGAGTGTTTGGGTAAATTTATCAGCATATGTGCGTTTTTCCTCTTTAGATTTTTGATGGCAGTTACACCGTGTTGCCTGAACAAAATCATAAGTTTTTACATTGGTGTAATTCTGTATACCTACAAATAAAGTAACTAAAGACTCTTTCCTAGAAGAAAACAAAATATATATGGAAAATACTGCAAACTTGAAATAGTGACTGTTAACAGTAGGCCTAGGCACAGCAGGAGCTGTGAAGCTGGGCAGGACTGAGCAGACTTTCATTCCGCATGACCTGTGGAAGACAACTTGATGGCATCTAACAACAAAAGCATTTACCAAGAAAGATGTACAGTACTTGGGGTAAACACAAAATTCTATTCAATAATAACACATCTGACTCATGTATTGGTTTGTAGAATCAGCCAGTAAAGAAGAGAATTGTGAAATGTTTAATTACTGTAGAAAATTTCTACCTGTTTTAAAGCCCAAAATAGGTGAACTCTTGTATATTGTACAGAGATGTGGTGGAGGTGGTGATGTTGTGTGCTGCTGAGTCAGAACTGACTCACAGCTGACCCTCCAATGGGTTTTCAGAGGCAGTACACTGCATAGGAAAAGATTTCCTCACCATTCTTCTACAGAGCAGCTGGTTGGCTGGAACTGTGTGCCTTTGGGCTTGCAATGCAGCTTCTTACCACTAGACCACCAGAGCTACCTACGAAGATGTAGACAATATAAAACTACATGAGCCATCTCAGGATCAGTTTTGAGGCCTTGCACACTAATGAGTGAAGACCAAAAGAACTGTGGGAGGATGTCAAAGGTATCATCCAGAAAGAGTGCAAACGGTCATTACAAAGACAGAAGAGGGAAAAAATAAAGACCAAAACGGATGACAGAAGAAACTCTGAATATTGCACTGGAGCGCAGAGAAGCCAAAGCACAAGGAAGAGTTCAAGATACTAAAGAGCTGAACAGAAGATTCCAAAAGGCAGCATGGGATGACAAAGCAAAATATTACAATGAAATGTGCAAGGAGCTGGAGTCAGAAAATCAAAAGGGCCTAATGTTCAGCATTTCTTAAGCTCAGGAACTGAAGAATAAATGCAAACCTCGAGTTGCTATAAACAAGGATGCTTTAGGCAGAATATTAAATGATCCAGGAAGTATTAAAAGAAGATGGAAAGAATATACTGAGACACTGTATGGAAAAGAATTGGCACACACAGAAGGATTTAATGAAATAACATATGAGCAAGAGCCTATGGTGATGAAGAAAGAAGTTCAAGCTGCTTTGAAGAAAATAGCAAAAAATAAGGCCCCAGGAATAAATGGTATACCAACTGACATAGTTCAGCTAACGGATGCTGCCCTGCATGTGCTCACCACGTTATACCAAGAAATCTGGACAATAACCACTTGGCCAACTGACTGTAAGAGAGCTATATCTGTTCCCATCCCAAAGAGTGTGGAAACTATAGAACAGTATCATTGATTTCACATGCAAGCAAGATTCTACTGAAGATTATCTAAAAATGACTGAAACAGCACATCAGCAGAAAACTGCCAGAAGTACAGGCTGGGTTTAAAAGGAGTCATGGTACTAGGGATATTGTAGCTAATGTCAGATGGATCTTAGCTGAAAGCAGGGAATACCAGAAGAATGTCTGTGTTTCATTGATTATGCAAAGGCCTTTGTGTGGATCATAACAAACTGTGGCTGACTCTGAGAAGAATGGTAATCCCAGAACACTTGAACCTGCTAATGCGAAACCTATACTTGGACCAAGAAGCAGCTCTCAGAACAGAGCAAGGAAACACTGCATGGTTCAAAATTGGGAAGGGTGTGCGACAGGGATGTGTCCTATCTCGATACCTTTTAAACCTGCATGGAGAACAGATTATCTGGGAGGCTGGGCTCTACGAGGAGAAGTGTGGCGTCAGGATTGGTGGAAGACCTTTCAACAATCTGTGTTATGCAGATGACACAAAACTGCTTGCTGAAACTGAGGAGGACCTGAAGTGCTTGCTGCAAAGGGTCAAGGACTGAAGCCTCCAATATGGATTGAGGCTCAATGTCAAGAAGACAAAGATTCTCACCAATGGACCAACTGGCAACATCAGGATGAACGGTGAAGAGATTGAGATTGTTAACAACTTTAGTCTGCTTAGCTCCACAGTCAACACTCTTGGCACCAGTAGCCAGGAAATTAAAAGACATATTGCGATGGGAAAGTCTGCTGTTAGGGACCTCTCCAAAGTACTGAAGAGCAATGGTGTCTCTCTGGAGACTAAGGTGCACCCAATACACACCCTGGTTTTTGCAGTCACTTGTTAAGCATCAGAAGAGTTGGACAATGACTAGGGAGGATAGAAGGAGAACTGATGCCTTTGAGCTGTGGTGCTGGAGAAGAGTATTGAGGGTACCATGGACTGCTAGGAAAACAAACAGATTCATCCTGGAAAGGGTCAAACCAAGCTGTTCCTTGGAGGCAAGGATTCTGGGGCTTCATCTGATATACTTTGGACATGTTGTAAGGAGGGACAGGTCCTTGGAGAGGGATTTCATGCTTGGGAGAGTGGAGGGACAGTGCAGGAGGGGAAGACCCTCTATGAGGTGGATTGATTCAGTGACTGGGGTAATCGGGATGGGTGTGTCGGAGCCAGTGTGATTGGCACAAGATAGAGCCGTTGTACATAGGGTCGCTATGAGTCAGAAGTGACTCGACGGCACATAACAACAACAACATGAGCTATAAAGAAAACAACAGCACAAGCTGTAGTATTACCCTAAACAATCATGATTCCATAGTTAGAGGTGTAAAGGTCAGTGCACCTACGTCACAGTATCTTAGTGACATTCTGATGGGACTCCACTGGATACTGAATACTACCAGTCTGGTAACCTGGCTGTGTGTTGACACATGCAGTGCTGTAGAAGTCCTTTTACGGTTTCAGCTCATTAGAATATTTTGAAGAATCTCTGCTACAATGCGTTGGCTCACCGGAATGATTTTGAAGGATGTTTGGTCTTACACAACGCAACGGATTGTTCATTGAAATTAATCATAAACAACAGAGTCAAAGCACCAAAAAGAATTACCTGACACTAAAAATTTTAGGAAGTACTATATGAAGAAGAGCCAATGGTGATGAAAGATGAAGTGAATACTTAGGAATCGATGGAATACCCACTGACGACATGTTTTAGCCAACAGATGCAACCTCTAATATGCTCTCCAGTCTATGCAAGGAAATCTGAAGGAGAGCAACCTGACCAACTAAGCGATTCAAAACTTTCTCTATTTCCAAAAAAGGTGACCCAACAGAGTGTGAAAATTATCGAACATATCAATACTATCTCAAGCAAGCAAGATAATGTTGAAAATCTCCTCCTGTGCCAGTCAGATCCAATTTGACAGTACACAACAAAAACAAAAATAAATAAATTTAAAAAATGGCTATAAACTTGTTATATGAGACCATTCTGTGAAATGGTATTGCCAAATGGTTTTCCCCGTAAGTTTTCTTTTCACTCTGTTGGAAAATGTTTTTGACGTACACAGGTCTCATTCACCAATTTTATCCTCTCCAGATTGTGCATTTCTGGTTGTATTTGACGGTCTCTTTATACTATAGACTAGGTCATCCAAGCTTGATCCCAGTTTGTTTCTTATGAAATTTGTGGTTTGGGGTTTTACTCCCATGTCTCTGACTCACTGGGAGTTGTTTTTTTTCTATGGTGTGAGATGTGGATCCTGTTTCAGCTTTCTGCAGTTAGCAGTCAAGTTTTGCCAGCACCACTTATTGAAGAGGTTGTCATTCATTATTTGATAGGTTTTATTTCCTTGTCGAGTATCAGTTGACCAAAGATAGCTGGGTCCATTTCTGGATTCTCAAATCTGCTCCACTGGTCTATGTGCTTATCATTGTACCAGTGCCATGCTGTTTTGGTTACTACTGTTGTGTAGTAGATTCTGAGGTCAGGGAGTGCTATGCCTTCCACTTCATTTTCATTTTTCAGAAATGCTTATTTTGGTTTTCTTTCTTCTCCAAGTAAGCTTGAAATTTTTATTTATACTTTTGTATTTCTTTATAACTCCTTGAAAAATGAATTTGGTATCTGTACTGGGATTGTGTTAAACATTTAGATTACTTTTGGTAGGATTATAATTTTCAATATACTGAGTCTCCTTATCCATGAACAGGGAACATTTTTCCACTTATTTAAGTCTTTTATTGTATCTCGAAAAAAATGCTCTGTAGTTTTCTTTGTATAGGTCTTATGTGTTTCTAGTTAGGTTCACTACCAAATATCCCAATTTGTATTTGTAAATGGTATCACTTTCTTGCTTTTTTTCTCTGAGTTCTCTTTGTAACTCTAGAGGAATCCCACTGATTTTTTGATAGTAATCTTATATCCTTCCACTCTAATAAATTGGTCTACTAGCTCTAACACATTTTTTGTTGAGTCTTTGGGGTTTTCTATGTACACTATCGTATCATCGACAGTGACAATTTAACCTATGAGCCTCCAGAAGAAAAAAACTGATAATACAATCATAAAATGGGCAGAAGACATGCAAAGACTTTTCAAAGAGGGTGATATTCAGATGGCCAACAGACACAAGAAGAAATGCTCAAAATTACAGGCAGTAAGAAATGCAAATCAAACTCACAATGAGATACCATCTCACCCAGTAGCAGTGGCAAAGTTTAACAGGACAGCAAGTAACAAATGTTGGAGAGGATGTGGAGAGATAGTAACTTTTATACATTGTTGATGGAATTGTAAAATGGTACAACCACTCTGGAAGGCAGTTCGGTGTTTCCTCAAAAAGCTGAATATAAAAATTCCATATGATCCAGCATTCCACTACTTTGCATATATTTCAAGAAAGTTAGAACTGAGGCACAAATGGAGATTTGTACACCAGTGTTCATAGCACTGTTATTCATTATCACAACAGAGAAACAGCCTAAATGTCCAACTACAATTGAATGGATTGAGAAATTATGATATCTTCACATGATGGAATACTACACAACATGTAGGAGCAATGATTTTGAAAATTACTACCTAACTTGGGAGG